TCTAGCCATATTAGAAGTATATTTACGTGAACTGAGTTTGGAAAAGCAACAGTCAAGGTCCATGCCCTTTTGTAACATCTTACATTTGCAGCAACATCTTACCTTAACAGTATTATGCATACAATCTAATTTTCAGGTAGGCTAAACATCTTAAGGCTGATTTCCAATTAGCTTTAAGTACACTCATAAGTATTTAGCATATCTAAAAACGATGCTTACCAAACCCAAAGTTTCAAACTTTGCCTGTTCCAACTGGCACACTTTAGCTGTCTCCAAAGTTTGTTTGACATCTTTTTCTCAGAATTAACCAGCACAACCAAGAGTAAGCTTTAACATCTCAAGTTATGGTTACTCAAGTATTCACAAAGAAATCTGAACTCCAAAAGATGTTAGTAATGACCTCAATAATACCAACATTCTGCAATATTCCTACTTCCCTTTACATTGATATACCTCTTGTAGCTGATACATCTCACATTGATATATCTCACGTAGCTGATACAAAGAGTTACACATGCATGTTATTTTCTGACATTGGAGGGAAAAAATGATAAAGCTGCAATAATAATGTCTATTATGAATAAAAGGACTCTCAGAAATGAGCTCAATCATTTATCCTAATTGTCACTCCCAGTCCTTGTCTGTTCATTACATACTGGTAGCCTGGTAAATATCCTCTTCCACAATTTCAACATTGAATCAAATTCTCTGTAATCAGGAACACATGTTTTGGCAGAGATTTAACAAGATAGATGCACAGTGCTGTTATTTACACTATTTTGAAGTTTTATAAATTAATGCTTTCCCAGTAGATATAAAATGCAGAACGTATAATCAGCAAGCACATGACTACATATTTGATCAGAGATGTGGCAATCACTTCAAGTGTTTCATCATAATGCTATGAAATACAGTGTATGTCTGTTTAGGAAAACTTCTTTTTTTCACATGCACAGTGTCAGAAAACAAAGTTATTTGCTAGACAGATACACTTCCCAGTCATACTCCTGTTACGGAGATAAAAAACTGGTAGAAATGTCATTAATGTATTCTTCCATAAGAAAGGATCTCAGCAAGTACCCAGATCGAGGTTTAATAAGAATTCTAGAAGTTTTAGGTCACCTCTACAGGTAATTCTTGCTTGCCTTTATTTTTTAAATATTAAGAGACAAAGTTGAGCAAATACACAACTGTTCACCAGAGGAATGCTGTGATATTCTATTCTGTTCTGTAATTAAAGGCAAACTACAGACAGTCTGTGTCTATTCTAAATAGACACTTCTAACTTTCCACATTACATTTGTCCAGTAAATCACTAGTGTGAATAGATAATGAATAGAGCATATTCAGAAGAACTTGTACATTTTTCAAACACATAAACCAATAAACAGAATTTTTCACACTATGGATGCCCAATATTATGAGTATCTATTGTAGACAAAGACCTTAAAATTCTGAAAATTGTCTTTATGTAAATATAGAATTTTCAGTCTTTCAGAATTATGCAACAATATCTTGCTTGCTTTTTTCCTTTTCTCAAGAAGCTTAGCCTTCAACTATAAGTTCTTTGTTTTCCATTGATGATGAGTAATGGATGAAGTCCATTAAAACCCACTCTGTACCAGCAGAACATATTTTCTAAAATGCCATGACAATGATAAATAGAAATAAGGTGCAAGAGCACAATAAAAAAAAACTAAATTTTGTTCAAATCACTGTAGTTAGGCCCTTAACCAAAGCAAACTAAAAGCAACATTTAACGCTTTACACACCTCAGCAGATTTTGGATAAAGGCCTGAACCTCTGATATATTGGGAAGCTTAGTTTATCTCAATATTTTTCCTATAGAAAAAGAATGTGCAGAACATCTATAGTATATATAAATTCTGCTTACTTTCCAGGCTTTCATGATGATAGTTGTATAGTCATGTACAGTCAAACAGCAGGAAAAGTATTCAACTCTTTAGTAACTAAGTTTGATTTCAAGTTACAAGTCAAATAAAAAAATAAATTAAATTCTTCAACAAATTAATGTTTTTACATCTAGTTCTAATATACCTTAATGAAAAGCAGTTTATTACTTAAAAAAGAAGATAGATTTGGCATATTAGAGAGCAACCTTCTAAATAAATTGTTACTAATAAGACATGAACCAGAAACAACAGTAACAAAACTCAAAATATAAAAGTAAGTTTAGTAATAAAAAGGATTCTTTCTCCCTATTCAACCAAAAAGAATGCAACTGAAAAAGCAATAATGAAATTAAAATTGTTGACAAAAATTGAGCTATTTGCAATACACACAAATTCTCAATGATCCTTTTTCAAACAGATATATGCTTATGTGATTTTCTTTCATTTCCTCTTATTTTTTTCTGGCCACTTAAGCACTCGGGACCTCCAAACTGTCAGCATTTTTTTTCTTTTTTTTAAACAAAATAGCCTCCCTATGCAGTAATAATGTTACTATTGAACTTACGAACCGTTAATAGTACACAAAGACAATTTTCCTCCCATTCTTTCATCTATCACAGTATCTCGTTTTACTAAAGAGCTGCCTGTAGCTAAACTCTCTGCCCATCTATAAGCAGTCACAACAATTTTTTTGTTTCTACGTCTCACTAACGAAGCAAATTTGGAGGAAAACCTGTGTGAGCGAAAGACACCTGAGAAAGCCATAGTTTAATTTTACTTCTTATTCACAACTTACATATAAAAGATTTTAGAATGTTTTTCTTTGCAGTAAGTCTCTCACTGCAACAATTCATGCCCACAATTTGATAATTAGAAATTATGTTTACTTTTCACATAAATATAAAAGAAACATGGAATTGTGTTCATTGCATCCACATAAGCTTTCCTGAGTAACTGGAAAAGATAAGATCAACTATTGGGTCATATTCCCCCTCTCCTGCCTTTCACGTAACAGCAGATATCAGTAACATTAAGAAGACACAAAATTAATGCTGTGCAGACAGTACTGTTACATGTAATTTCTCACCATCATTTAGAAGTGTGCCAAGCCTAAACAGTCAGAAATGAATTTAAAATTAAAGACATATTCACTAGGTGCCTTCATTTCAATCTGTACTGCAGATATGGCTCAAAAAAAGGAAAAAAGGATAAAGTCAGAGAATGTAGAAAATCAAGTGCCATATTTCTGCAAACACAAAAGACCTCATTGTTCAGATACTAGGTATGTTTCTGGAATTGTCTTATTTTATAGTTATCTGCCAGAAATTCAAAATTTCTATGCAACTTCAGGAGAAAAAAACCAAACAAAACACAGAGAAAATTTGGGGGTACCTCAAATTCCAGCTTTTGCTTGATCAACAGTCTAGATATAAAAATGCTTGAGGAAAGACTGAACTTTTAAAATTCAAAGTTCTTTTAATAGTACATGATAGGTACCCCTTAATACTACCTTTCACTGCTCATCCACACAGGCAGCAACATTAATTCCAGAGAAGACTACTACCAAATCAAGGACAACAAAACAGTGCTGGGGACAAGAATGAAGTGCACAGGGGCCCTGCTGGTTGTCTTGGTCCTGCCAGTAGGGGAAAAGGCTTGCATAGGAGCAGGTGGATCCTGTGCATCAGTACCTGGTTGCACAGCAGGTACCACTGACAGATTTGGCTTTTATGATCATGGGACAGTCTCTAATGATCAAGGACTGCTGGGAGAGATGAAATCCACCTGACAGAGTGGGACAAGATCACCTTTGCCAACAGGCTGACCAACCTGGTGAGGAAATAGTGGAAGGGGTGGAAAGCAAATGGTGCATGGTGATAGGAATAAGAGAAACCTAAGAACTGACAAAGCAGGATGAAAAGAATAAAACAGAGCAACCTAGGAAATAAGCAGGAGAAACCAGAGCTCCTGTAGTGGTCACACAACTGCAACATCATTAGAGTAAGACACTTGTAGATATTGATGCTTCTAAGAATTTAGAACTGGTATCTGGGTCTGAGAACGTGTAGCCAGGGACTGCAGATTGGAGGAATACGTGAGAGCCAGAAAGACAAAAATAATCACACTTGTCAACAACTTAGGTTTCCACAAACAATTGTGCACCTGAAATTGATTATGTAATGATTTTGATCGAATTACTAACTGTTCAGTATTGTTAGCTTTTCTTTCCATTAGCTAAAGTCTTAATTTTCATTATCTTTTACTGGCCAAAAGGTGGGCATTTTCCTGTATTTTTCAACTATCTGTCAACTCTTCATAAATGATTCAAAATTCTACAAAAATCATCAGAGTGAGAGGAATGTTAAAAAGCTTAAAAAATCTTGTTCAGACTTAAGTACATGTGGCTAGAACAAAAATGGAAAAATTTTGCAGCTGCTAGTAATCCACAAATAAAGAAGTACAAACAGCCTGGAACAGCATATTAACAAGTGTTTAAAGTTTGCCATGACATTCTACCCATGGAGGGTATAATTTTTCTGAAGCTGAGAATCCAGGAATCAATCAACAGTATATTACTTCAATGCTTCCAACTACAAGGCAAGGCTAGAACGCAAACCCCTAAATTCAGACCAGGCTGAAGCAGAACACACTATGAAAATGCCCAATGACACATGGTGAAGGTTTGTTGCACCATTCAAAATGTTTTTGAGTGAGATACTACAGTAAGCCACATTTGTCTGTCTGTCAAGCAACATTCCTGGTCATTGATATCCCTAAAATTGATATAGGATATGTACATGTATATTGAAGAAGGTGTTACTGATTAATACTGAATTGTTGTATTCCCTGGCCAATGCGGTCATCTTATTAGCACACTTTTAGAAAGTATTAAACTATTAAAAGTCAACCCTCAAAATATGCTGTTTGGATAATCAACACAGTCTTATGGATGAATATATATGAAGTTACTGCTGCTGTTCAGTAACTGATCTCTAAATAAATTATACTGAGATCTTCAAATTATTAAAATGTGCCATTTCAGTCAGAAACTTTTACACAAAATCTGTGTTAAGATGTATCACTTACCTGATAAACATGGAATGCATTAGCAGCTTTTCCACGCAGAAAGACTGAGGGAATCCAAACATTAATAAGAGCACGATTTGATCTGAGGAGGAGAGAGAAAAATTTAAAATAAGGAATCATATTTATGTATAAGAATTGCACAGCAACTACCTCCAGTGATTTAGATAATGATCAAAGTGATCAACAAAGCAATTTAACATTTCAAATGGAGTATCAGAAAAATTACAATTCTGCCTGAACCTTTTATACATGCTGTATCTAAGTGTTCCCTAAAATTTACATAACTGAAAAAGCACTGAAATAATTCCCTTTGCAGGTCTTTTGGGGTTTGGTTTTTTTTTTTGTTGTTTTTTGTTTGTTTGGTTTTTGTTTTTTTGTTGTTTTTTTTTTTTTTTTTAATAGCGTGCATTTGACAACATTTCATTATACACATGAAACAAAAACTATTCATTTCAACAAACTACGTTTTGGTCCACAGAACTCAGCACAACACTGAGTTCATTAAATAACAGAAGAGCACTACACAGCTACGGAGAATCCATTTTCATCCACTCTTTGCAATTCATCTCCAAATTTCTATGATTCAAAGACATCTGCTACATTTTCACACCCTTATCCACAAAAAGCTAGATTCATTAGTCTGATTAATAAAGGCAAAACTCCAAATAACAACACTCTAGAATGATCTGGGGTGATCAGCTGGGTTGTTTGTGGGGTTCTTTGTAGTACTATTTGTATGCATTAATTAGGAACTATTCTGTAAAAATGAGAAAGTCCATCACATTATGAATAGCATCTACCAAATCCAAGCAACAGAAAACAGGAACTTTCTGGTCCTTCGTTAGAATACCAAGACCTAGTGCACTGATAGAGCACTCCAAGAGAATCTCCATAAATCTAAACTCCTTGCATTCAACATTATTAAAAATGACACCAGCGCATAGACTGTGCAGCGCTCCATACTTTTTAACAGTGGAATACCACAGCTGAGAATTCAGGTATAGGAAATAATATACAAAAAGCAAATTACTGAATCTGTTTGCTTATTCTTCTTTCCCACAAAGACAGTACGAAGAGGAAAATACGTATATTATGAAACTTACACTTCAAAATCTGACAAACTCTGATCTTCAGATGTTTGACTCAAATCTCCAGGGACCTATATTTACAAAACAGAAATAATTCCCACACGACAGTTATTATGCTTTCTACTAAGAAAGCATAATATTATAAGGAAATTACAATTCACCACTGAATATTTTAAATGCCAATAAGAACTATTACTGGGAAACAATAAATGAAAATTAAACTATCATGCAACAGGATTGTGAACATATCACCCTTGCAAGTTCTTCATGTTAGAATTTGCTATAGTTTTGTAAAGAAACAAACTGGGGCTTGTTATAGCTTGTAATTTTGAAAGGTATAGAAAACCCAGAGAAAAGCATCACAATTAAGCCTTTATAAGCAAAGTATGCAAAAACAAAGTATATTGTGTGCATAAACAATTTATGGGAAAAGATGAAGCATATAAAACTAAGTGATCGCTCTTTTACAACCAACATTCCATTAAGAAACATGACCATTTTATTTTAGCTGTGTTCTTACAAAATATTATACAGCTACAAAAGTTCATAAAGATGGCAATGACGGACTAACAGCTGCAGAATCAAAAGAAGCAGCAGTTGTAAGAAAACAAGGTTGAAAGTGTTTAGAACTGAAGCAGCAATAGCTTTTTACCTTACTTTAAACCTAGCTAAAGTATATCTTCTCTCTTTTAAATACTGTAAGATGTAAATCATAAGACAGAATAATTCATGTGTTTTGATGAAAAAAAACAGCTAAAAGTTGTGAACTTCCACAGACACCTTCTACGTTAGTTAAATATTGGTTTGGTTTGGTATAGCTCTGTAATGTATGTTGCATGCACATTACTGTTTTTCAGAATATTTGCTGCCTAAGAAACTTAAATATATATTATTGCTTGTTGTAAACCAATAGATATTTTTATTACAAATCAATGTATTATTTCAGAGGGGACTAAAGAAAATCCAGTTCCAAGATGTTTTGAGAGATTAGCTCAAGACCACCCAGTACACAAGACAAAACTGAATTTCGCCTTCCCAAGATTAAAGAGATATGGTTCAGCAAAAACCTACCACCAGATACATACAGTTATTTTAATTAACTTAAGTAGAAGTTTTGCAGAAAAACCTCAGTGTGGACTTCAGAAATAAGAAAAAGGACGACATTAATGAGTTCCACTGTTTGCACACCTATCTTGAAACAGACTGGTTTCTGACTTTGTAGTGGTAATTTAAGTGTTGTTCATTGTAATGTAAATCACAGTGATGGAGATATTAAATCAATGTACTTCCTCATACCCTTGAGAGCACATACTTTTTGTATTAATATTCCTTTGATTGTTGCAGAATTTCTGAAACCCAAAGACTAGAAATTTGGAAAGATCACTGTGAACAACTAATTTGTAAATTATAGCCATTAAAATTGATTATCAGCATTAAAAGGAAAAGAGAAGACAGTGAAGAATCATGGAAACTATTTTTATTACAAACTGTAAATTATATACTGTTTTAATAATAAAATGTTAAGAACGGGGCTGATATTCTCAAAGAAGTCAAAGGGGGATCAAATATTCATATCCTACAATTTCTGGCAGTTACACACTTTACCACCTCTGAAAGTTCTACTGCGTAAGTCTTTAGGACTATATTCAATTCACAGTTTAATTTTGGACAGTAACAACTAACGACTAGCATTTAGCTAGCCCTTGAAAATACAGTACTATTTCCACTTCTTAAAAAGTTCTAGGAATTAAGTTTTCTCCCAATATCTATCAATATCTAACTGCTAGATTAGGATATGGAGATACATGGTTAAAAACAAAACCTCTGAGCTGGGACATACAGCCCAAAATCTCCGAGTAAGAAAGTACAAATATAATATGCATGTGATTTATCATTTGTCATCTCTTAACACAATAATGTGATTGTTTCCATCTAAAAGGCTTGAAAATTATAGACGAAATCCTACTTCATTAATGCACACAGAACTGTCATCAGCCACTTTACATAAATGTTATGATAAAAAAGGCATGAATGCTTCCAGTGCAAACAAAAAATGTAAGGAACAATAGCACACAACCATATGAACAAAAACTACCAAAATACGCCTCCCTCACAAGATGGACAAATATTTGGAACATTTTTGACTCCTGTTTCCTCCCTGTTCATTTTCAAATTTCAACCAAATTTTTTAACACAAAAAGCCTAAGCCAAAGTTGGTAGAAAACAATTTTATTCTCTGAATATATCTACTGTATATTCAATTTTGCTAAAGAGAAACAAAAATACCAGGGTGTTCTTGACAGATGTGTTATTAGCTGTTATTTCTTATAAGCTAATATATATTATATTTCACCTCGAGTAATGTTTTTGAGCTTCCTCCAGAATGGTATTCTACACTGTAATAAACACTTACCGGCCCTCTCAAATCAATTAGTTCTTGTCTCATCTGGGACACAAGAGCTTCTTTTGCCATCAGAGCACGGTGCAGCCTCTCATTGAATTCAATCAGTTCACCATGCATTTCAGCTACCTGAAAAACAAAGCCAAGAGACAACTGTGTTCTAAACTGAAAAAAACCCATCCTACATGTATATCAACTTTTTTTTTTTTCACCGTACTCTCCAAGTAGTGCATCTCATTGCTAATGCATTAAACTGACCATTAAGAACAGACAGTTACAATAATTTTTGACTCATGCCTTGAAATGTAGGTTTCGATATTGAATTCAACATGACAAAATACAATCTATGTCCAATTTTATTCCTATCAGAAGAGATACTATGGCAACTGATTCTAATAAAATACCTATTAACTTTTTTCTCCGTTTAATTCTTTGATGAACACAGCACACAACAGTTACAATCTAATCACACTCTTTTGAACTGCAAATAATACAAAATGTACAAACTGCATTAAACCTTGTCAATGATCCGTGAGTAATATATTCTACACTCTTACTTGAAGTTTTAATAGGATTGAAGCTAGAAGTCCACTAATTCCAAGCAAATCTGAGAGGGGTCAAAGGAGCATAGACACCACAGTTACACTGTGGCACAAGTTGTGCATAGGTAAATAGTGTGGCCTCTAGCATGGACTTTTTGGACACAAAATCTAGCTATGTCTGTGCTTTCTGTTTTTGAGTCAAAGTGTCAAGAAACCACCATTAATGCAGGGTATTTATGAAAGTGAACAGGGCTGGATGAATGACAAGGATGAAAAGTATACCAATTTACAGAGCAAACTATGTTTAAGTTGGTTTCCTGCCAAGAGAAGCAAAAAACGGTAAAACTCAACTCAAAGTTAAAGATGGTGTTGAGCTCTTGAATTATTCTTACACAGAAGTAAAGCGTAAGCCTATAAAGGGAGAAGAACTCCAAAAGGACGAGGGCTCCCAAATAGCAAAGGTCTAAGTAGTAGCAGTAACATGTTATTATCAAGAAAATGGGATGAAGAAACTAGAGGAAACAGGAAGTAAGGCTAAAAGAAACTTAAAACCTGTGTTCAGCAAGATTTTTACCTATTCCTATCAGAATCATTATACTGTAAAATTGAGTGAAAATTTCAATTATGATGGATGGTCCATCAGTACACAATATACCTGGCAAGAGGAGTTGTCTTGAACTGATAACGCCACTTGAAGCCTTAAAGCAAAGAAATTTGAGCCAAAAGGGTTTGCAGAATTATTTTCAAGGGAAAAGAAAGACTCTTCAGAAAACCTCACTGTTAGATGTTTCCAAGTAAATCCTCCTTATATGACTTCTGTATTAAAGAGCAAGAATACTGATGAGGGCCACTATCAGAGGTGGAGCACCAGATGAGCAGTCCCAGGGCAGAACAAGAAAAGCTACAATTTTAAAAGGAGTTAGATGAAAACAGCAGCAGTGACTTGGGTTGGCCCTAGTAGGCATAGCAGGCTACCACAACAATATTGTTAAATGTGTTTTTCAGGTTACACCAACTCTTGAAATGCCACCTCATATAGTGAACCAAAGCTAGGAGAATAGTACAGACAATGGGGTAACATTATGAAAGCACAGCTGAACAAGTTGAATATCAATCCACTACCTTCAACGATAGCATGGGGACTTGGACTACTGCCAAATCTCTCAAGACTTCATAGTTTCCCTTCTGGAGGCAGTTCACTACTATCTATGGATTTCACACTTTCCTCTTCTTGAATTACCACTCTGCCTTCTCCCTCTTTTCCAGGGAAGTTCCCCAAGATAAAGCAGTTTAATTCAATTTGTTTAATTTAGTGTTTGCTTTTAATTTAGTGCTTTATTCCAGAAAACCTGTATCCTTCACGTAATTAAAGCAAACAGAAAAAACAGCTTCAATTTGAAAAACCAGGAGCTGACATAAATGATTAAAATTTAAAAATAATTATGCCCTAGTTGAACTTCAAGTATTCTTTTCCAAATTCTTTTCAAATTAGAGGCAGTCCTTCAAATCCAGTAATTCATCAGTGTTGCATATACATGAAAAGAGCTAAACTAAGCCCAGATATTATTTGTCTAGACTGGTATCTCTCATTAATTCTGAATTTACAAACTATTCTGAAATGCTTAGAAAATTAAGAGCTAAAATCCAGTAACAGTAATTGAATTAACAACAAACTTGCCTTGTAATGGGACTATCAAGAAATACAAAAGCTGAAGATTTCAGAGTGATTATTTAAACCCAAACAGGCATTTTTATTTGTTTGTCTGATTATGTAAGCAGTTTTAGATTAATATTGATGCTTTACCTTACACATTACAATACAAAAAGCTTGCAACACATCCAAGTTATTTAGTTTCACTCCTCAATTTCTCAAGTGCAAAGGTTTAACATAGTATTAATATAGTTTCAACAATAAAAAGCTTTATTATTATTATTGTTATTATTATTTATAGTATAATACGGCAGCTTTAATTTACTGGGTTTGTTGCTGTTCCTATCAAGCATTTCTGTTGCACTTAATCCTACTAGAAAAGCTAATTTCTCAGCCTCATAATTAGACTCTTTTCTGGCTCCTCCTGATAAAACTCAGAACGTCAGGATTTCCATGTTATCAATTAATGACATGTATTCATATCTTAATTGTTCATTCAACCTCAGCCTTGATAAAAAAAGGTTCTTTGTCTTCAAACACTTGTTAGCAATTAGTAAGCTCAGTTTGAGAAAAAAAAAGATATCTAAATCCATATGAACGTCTGTGTTATAACTAACGTAGTAGGTGCCACTTAGCAAGCAGTTTTCCTTCATAAATTACATACATTTATGCACAAACAAAACTGCCAACTTTACTAGATAAAGTAATAATATAACATCATTAACGCTGGATAAACTGTTTTCCATACTAGCTTAACCACTCATTCCAACCCAAAGTGACTGGTGTAATATTTAAGAATACCATAAGCCCCTCTGATTCAGGTTAATTCAGGTCATTGTTAATTACAGAGAGCCTGGGCTTGGAGGCAGAACTTCATTGTATTTCACATACAAAAAGATGCAGTATGCTACTAGTTGCAAATGAACAGACCAAAACTATAGTACTGAGTTGGCTGATTGTTATCAAAAGCAATATACAAAGTTATGAATAGACGCAAAACTCACTAGTTTACATAGCTGAAATCATGTTTGATTTTTCAGTGCCTGTCTCTATCAGAACAAAATCCAAATGATCTGATGTAATACCTATTTTCTCTCCCTCTCATTTGCATGTCTGTGAAATAACATTCTACTTGCAGACTCAATATGTAAATTCAACAGCTCTCTCAAAACACCGGAAGTAATACAAAAATGTATGTCTGTTACTATTAAAGTTAAATAATAAAAAGAAAACTTCACAGCAAATAAAATAGCAAAACACCTGCTATATATTATCAAAAGGACAGATTGGCAGGTATGTTACTTGTGAAAAATCACTTTTATTAGTAATTTTAAGTTACTTCAATATTTTTTCTTGTCAAAGAAGAATGTTTTACCATCAGAGCAAACCAAAAGGAGAAATGAAATGTACATCCAAATAACAGTATTAATTGAGGTTCCTCTAACTTTTCCTGCATTAAGGTCTGCTAAAAACAATAAAGTGGTCTCCTTATAATTATATCCTTTCAGGCACATTTTATGTCATCACATTTTCCTTTATTCATTCCACACTGAAGCTTAAGCAATGGTTTTCCCAGCTAGGATTTCACCCATCTTCACAGTTGTTCTTCTCCATGACAATATGTTTAAAGCAGAAAATTAAAGTACAGATCAACTAAGTTCCCTTAGCTAAGATGATCATTCAAATTCAGTTCTGGTCATATCAGAAAGCATGCTTAAAGAGCCCAAATTCTTATCACGAAGGGGAAGTGAGGTTAACATAAAATATTTAGACTTCTGTCCTGGGTTTGAGTGAGTGGTGGGGTTTTTTGGTAGCAGGGGAGGGGGTTGCAGGGGCAGCCCCCTGCGAGAAGCTTCTTGAAGCTCCCCCAGCTCCAAGTCAGCTCCACTTCTGCACCAAAACTGAACCAATCAGCTGCGCCTCTGCGATAACGTATTTCAGAAGGGACGTGATGACGGGCAGTGGGACTTGTGAGGAGGAGTCGCTGCAGCTGCATGAACACCAAGGTCAGTGGAGGAACGGAGGAAGAAAGGAGGGGGAGGTGTGCCGGAGCAGAGACCCCCCTGTATCCTGTGGGGAGACGGCAGGGTGGCCCCCCCTGCCACCCATGAAGATCTGCAGTGGTGCAGACACTGATTTATGGCTTGTGTTTTGTTTCATATGGCTGATTAAGGTGCTGTGCCTGAAGAAGCCAGGGTCTTGTGGGAGAAGGTAGCCCCTGCTGTTGTAGTTCAGTGCTGGGAGGATTGCAGCATGCAGGGGTGTCCCACCCCAGAGCAGCTCAGAAAGGGCTGCAGCTGTGGGAGGGACTCCAGTCGGAGAAAGTTGGTGTCCCATGCTGGAGCAGTGTAAGGAAACTCTGCAGCCTGTGGGAGGGACCCACATCGGAGGAAGTTTGTGGAGAACTGTCTCCTGTGAGAGGGGGACCACGCAGGAGCAGGGGGAGAAGTTCCAGAAGCTCCCCGCACTGAAGCTGTAAGAAGTGGCAGCACTAAGTGCACCCCCCATTCCCTGCCCCTGTGCTGCTGGGGGGAGGAGGTGGAGATATCGGGAGCAGAACTGAGCCTGGAAAGAAGGGAGGGGTGGGGGGAAGGTGTTGTGTTCTCAAGATGTGGCAATGCTTCTCACTGTCCTACTCTGTTAAGTGTTGTGGTTAATGTCCATAATAAATGTATGTTCTTTTTTTTCTTCCCCTAACAAGACTGCCTTTTGCTCGTGACCATAATGGTATCTGCCCCTCCTGGTCCTATGTAAACTTAAAACATGCTAGGAATGTTTCACTAACTATATGAAAAATACAATCTGTCTTAGGACATACTTTTAAAGTAGAGAAACAGACTTTTAAGAACTTGCAACAAGGAAAAATGAATAAGGTTTTCTTAAAGGGTGTTTTAGTGGAAGTCAATTTTTTTTTTTAATATAATTTGCAGCTAAAA